AAAATAACTTCAAAACCAAAATTGGAATACTTTCAAATTTAGCACAAACTGAAAAGGCTTTCTTTAAAAAAAAATGTGCACTTAATTCAGGTCAATACTGAATAATGAAACCTTCAATGCTCTTTTTTAACATGTAAATTTAATGAATTATATATATTAATTTTTTGTCATTATAAGTTAAAAGCCTTTTTTATGCCCCGCCATGAATATGACCGGGGGATATAGTGTTTGTCATGTCCGTCTTCCGTCCTTCCGTCCTTCTGTCCTTCCGTCCTTCCGTCCTTCCGTCTGTCCTTCCGTCACACTTTGCGTTTAGCTCTGTTCAAAGCTCAGTTTCAAAGAAACTATCCAAGATATTTTTATCAAACTTCATATGCTGATAGATATTGATGAGGGCTATGCAACTGCATCAACATTTTTTGACCTTGACCTTTCCTTTGACCTTGACCTCACTTTTCTTAAATTAGTGTTTAGCTCAGTTTTAAAGATACCATTCAAGATAGTGTAATCAAACTTCATATGTTGATACATACTGATGTAAGCTATTCAATTGCATCAACATTTTTTTGACCTTGACCTTTATTTTGACCTTGACCTCACTTTTCTTAAATTAATGTTTAGCTCTGTTTTAATGAAACCATTCAAGATATTTTTAACAAACTTCATATGCTGATACATACTGATGAGAGCTATTCAACTGCATCAATATTTTTTACCTTGACCTTTCCTTTGACCTTGACCTCACTTTTCTTAAATAAGTTTTTAGCTCAGTTTTAAAGATACCATTCAAGATAGTGTTATCAAACTTCATATGCTGATACATACTGATGAGAGCTATTCAACTGCATCAACATTTTTTGACCTTGACCTTTCCTTTGACCTTGACCTCACTTTTCTTAAATTAGTGTCAAACTTCATATGCTGATACATACTGATGAGAGCTATTCAACTGCATCAATATTTTTTGACCTTGACCTTTCCTTTGACCTTGACCTCACTTTTCTTAAATTAGTGTTTAGCTCAGTTTTAAAGAAACCATTCATAATATTTTCATCAAACTTCATATGCTAATACATACTGATGTAACCTTTTCAACTGCATCAACATTTTTTGACCTTGACCTTTCCTTTGACCTTGACCTCACTTTTCTTAAATTAGTGTCAAACTTCATATGCTGATACATACTGATGAGAGCTTTTCAACTGCATCAATATTTTTTGACCTTGACCTTTCCTTTGACCTTGACCTCACTTTTCTTAAATTAGTGTTTAGCACAGTTTTAAAGAAACCATTCATAATATTTTCATCAAACTTCATATGCTAATACATACTGATGTAACCTTTTCAACTACATCAACATTTTTTGATCTTGACCTTTCCTTTGATCTTGACCTCACTTTTCTTAAATTAGTTTCTGAATCAAACGTCATATGCTGATACATACTGATGTAAGCTATTCAACTGCAGCAATATTTTTTGACCTTTACCTTTCCTTTGACCTTGACCTCACTTTTCTCAATTTGTGTTAAAATGTTGCATTACTAATATACCCTTGGCGGGGCATTCATGTCCTATGGACATATTTCTAGTTTAATAAAAATTCTCAATACACAAATACTTATATATATATAATTTAATCATGGTTAATATGTCTTGAATGTTGTTACGCATTATGACCAGATTTTTTACTTTCCAAATCTGGACACATGTTGGAGGTTGGCAAGTATGATTACTTTACTGTAAAATTTTGTTAGGGGCGCTTTGACCAAAATCAGGGGGCACTTTGTCCGCCATTTGGGGGTGGTTTTGTAACATCATTTTACTGTCAAGTTTCTTTAGGGGGCGCTTTGACCAAATTCATGGGGCGCTTTGACCAAAATCAGGGGACTCTTTGACCAAAATCATGGGGCGCTTTGACTGGGATGGCTTTGTTAGGGGGCGTTTTGACTGGAATTCGCTAAGTTCTTGAAAATGGTGTTCAATAACAAACGGATATTTTTTGATAAAAGCTCAGTAGTTGATACAGAAGAAACAGAATTACAATTTCTGATCTCAAAAGTGTTATTAACTGCATTCACATTCTCAAAATACCTAAAAGAAAACTTGGAAGAATCTGCTACAAGCATCTGCCATCTTTACAACACCATGTTTCCTCAAAATATCAATGAGATTCAAGCCCTTTGTTATGGGTATTCCCCATACTATATTTGGCATTAAATGATATAAATAGGTGGTGACAGTATTTGTCTCCTCATTCTCATTGATTTTTTTGGTCATGTGACAAGTTTTTTAGCCAATCACCGTTTCTTTTACAATGGAAATCAGAACAAATCTACGTCTTCAAGTATACAAGCATGGCGGTCGATATCATATACACAGGTCTTCAAGAATACAGCACGGTTATCTGTAGATGTAAATATACGTCTCTGAGAATAAGAGCAGCTAAAATTAGGATGCAAATATGTGTCTCTGGCAGTGATTAGTTAATTAATACTGATCAAAATGTTCCAAGGTATATTCTTACTGATTACATTTACATGGGATCAAATGGTAATGTAATAAACAATGACCTATCCTGCCAAATTGTGATATCGTATTCTTGCCATGAGATTTAGTAGCTATGTCAGAAATCACAAAAGGAAATTATTGAAAAAGTAACTGAATGTGAAGTTCAAAAATATTGTGCATGGATATCAACATTTTTACCAGAATCTGATCTTGCTCCTAAAACTATTGAATCATCCATTCAGAAAGTTTTTAGCGATTTAAAAAATAAAGTGCCCTGCCACACCATGATACGCCCGTCAAATATTGTTCAATTATCATAAACAGTTTAGAGTGCAAGAAAATCATGTCAACCTTGATACCAGTACAAGGATATCCATGATTTTTTTCCATTCCTTATAATATTTGTTCATACATCTCCTGTGGTGTAGGCATTAATTATAACAAATATTACATTATAGATCCTCACCTGTTTGAGTTAGAGCTTGACAAATACCCATCTGCAGCCCCCCCCCCTTCCCCCCCCCCCCCCCCTATATTTGTGAGACATGATGCTCTAGTTGATATTTTCAAAAAATATTAAAATATCATATTAAGCAGTATCAATTTAGTACTAACAACTTAATCTATACCAAATTGATTTTAAAAGTATAAAGGCTGGCCATCAAATATGCTATAAACTGACCAGCAGTTCTTCTCTCTAATTCCCAAAGGATACAGATAAGAGCTGCTTGATCTGGGTGAATTCAAAAACAAGAGGCCCGTGGACCACATCGCTCACCTGAGCACATTGGCTAGGCAACAGCACAAATCAATTCAGTACTGAAAAGATTACTGATTACTGGGGGGGGGGGGGGGGACTTGAATTTTAAACTACCTGATGATGCTTCCATGTCAATATGAGTAAACATAGCTTTTCTGTTCTTGAGAAGAAACATTTTTTCTATATGTTCTTATGTAAAACTTTCGATCCCCATTGGGCTCCACCCTACCACCGGGGGTCATCAATTGAACAAAATTGAATTTACACTACCTAAGGTTGCTTCCATATCAAAATGACTTTTCAGTTCTTAAGAGGAAGATATTTTCTTATGTTCTTATGTTAAATTTTAGATCCCCTATAGTGGCGCGACCCTATCCCCGGGGGTTATCATTTTAACAAACTTGAATCTACACTACCTGAGGATGCTTCCATATTAAAGACTAACCATGGCTTTGCAGTTTTTCTTCAGAAGAAATTTTCCTATATATATCTATTTAAGACTTTGATCCTCCATTGTGGCCCCGCCCTACCCCCAGGGGTCATGATTTGAACAAACTTGAATCTTCACTACCTGAGGATGCTTCTTTATAAATATGACTCTTCATGGCTTTGCTGTTCTTGAGAAGAAGAGTTTTAAAGATTTTTCCTAAATATTTCTATGTAAAACTTTCATCCTTCATTGTGGCCCCGTCCTACCCCGGAGGGTCATGATTTGAACAAACTTGAATCTACACTACCTTAGGATGCTTCCAAATAAATATGACTCCTCATGGCTTTCCTGTTCTTGAGAAGAAGATTTTTCCTTTATATTACTAAGTAAAACTTTGATCCTCCATTGTGACCCCGCCCTACCCCCGGAAGTCATGATTTGGACGAACTTGAATCTACACTACCTGAGGATGCTTCCGCATGAGTTTCATCTTTTCTGGCCCTGTGGTTCTTGAGAAGAAGATTTTGAAAAGATGCTATTAATTTTTCACTTATTCTGTATTCTCTCCCCTTGAAAGAGGGCATGGCCCTTCATTTGAAGAAACTTGAATCCCCTTCACCCAAGGATACTTTGTGGCAAGTTTGGTTGAAATTGGCCCAGTGGTTCTTATATAGTAATGAAATGAAATTTGGTATACAGACTTATCATAAGAATATCTAGCTCAAGTTTTCTTCTGAATGTGATCGAGCACTTTCAGAAAGAGTTACGTCCCTTGGACTTAAAAAAATTCCAAATATTAATGGGGGGGGGGGGGGAGCATAAGTGTTTCACAAACATCTTGTTTTATCAAGAAATGAACCTTTGAGGTAACATTGCAAAGCATTAGAATTTCTATATACAAACCAGAAAAATTAATAAACGTATACACTTAAACAAGTGATCGGGGTTTCTGGATTTAAGGAGGGACTCAATTGATTATCTAGTGAAAATGCATTGATTTTTTTGAAAATCTTCTTCTTTGCTACTGGGTATTTAGCAAAAAAACAAGTGGATGATTATGAAAAGCATGGGTGCTTTTTCCAAAACTGTTATATTCCTGGTCTGTGGGTTGGGTGTTCTGGTGTTAGGATGGGACTCTGTTGATCATAAAGTGTAGCATGATCTCTTATCATCTCTTAAACATTGTGTCCACATAATGTTGAACATTATGTGCAACAGAGCAGAAAAAACCTGCAAAGTGACATTCAAGTGATTGTAAAGGCTCATAGGCCTCTTATAGTTTGACAATTTTAACTTTTCCAGGCATGCCAGGCGATATTTTGTTAATCTTGTGGATCAGCAACTATCAGATGTTCAAAGAGTTATGGGACTTTTGGCATACCCTGCTAATACCATCCTTCAACCATACAAAGTGAGTATCTATGAAGTATTCAGCTCTGAATTCACTCAAGGTTATTTCTGTGTACTGTACAGCAGGTTAAAATCAGATTAAATTAAATTAGAAATGATTGGGATTTGTTCACTTTGCAGCAAATTGCAGCCGTTTGAATTCGCAGAAAGGAAAAAAAATTACACTTTTTTTCAGCCCTTGCGTATTGTGTCAATTCTGAGCCTGATTAAATGTTAAAAATGAAAAATCTGACTGATCCCAATTTACACTTTGAGATAAAGGAGTATTCTACTTAAGTATACAGTACACCTCACGAGTAACACCGGCCAGGGTGGACCCTTGATCCATGCTTTTGCATGGACTTTGAAAAATGTTTGTGTCTTTGATGCTTCATGTTTCAGCGGCGCTAAGCTGGCACACAATGTGACACTGTGTGTACACGGTGGGACACGGTGCGTTTGCTCCGTGGAACTCCGTGTTGGTTAATCAACGTTAAGTAGTTTGAAATGACATTAAAAATAATTCATTGAAGATATTAGAATAAAATTCATTGAAATTCATATCATCTGCAGCGTGCATTTTCCTACTTTCGATATTGTGCGGACGTGTCAATGAATTTAACAAAGACGGATTTTACCAGTCATCAGTCTTGTGTTATTTTGAAGATATCTCCTTAAGATTATTTTGTTTGTAAAACAAAAGCTAAATCTAAATTGAAAATAATAAGAAAGGAATATTATGTATTTGTATTATGCTCACCAAATCCATGTCGAATTGTCAATTATCTTATCTGACGTAATTTTTTTTTTAAATTTTAAATTATTATAGAAACTGGTGTAGAAGTAAATAATTACTACATCAAAATACGACACAGAAAATATAATGTTTAATTTAATTGGAATTCGATGAAAAAAATAGTTATGAAAAGATTTACTTAAATTTACGTCCCGTAATGGAACCCATATTGAGATGAGACCCGATGTAGTCTCTGTTTAATGAGTAAATCTCTGCCCATCCCATTAGAAAACATGAAATATTGATATTCAGGTATTGAAGATGCCCCCCTTTTTTATCTGTGTCTGTTTGTAATCGTTCAGAATTATGTGTAAAATATAAACCTTAATATTTAACTTGCAGTTTGTGCACAGATCAAAGCATTATGGGCACAATATTTTTCACAAAACTTGTCACCCAGAATAATCACAATATGTAAAAGATAAGATGTAAAACATTTTAATTATATCAATGATGTCGATAATGAAACAAATTCCAATGATATTATTCAATGAAAATGATATTTCTGCAATATGTTCTATGTTAAACAATGATGTAAAAAGCCAAACAGTTTTGTTCCATAATGTGTATGGAAAAAAAGTCTCAACAAAAATTGTGGTATTTACATCAAATCGGGCTGCTATAATTGTTGATAGGCTCACTGCCAAACTAAGCATATGCATAGAAGATGCATTTATGAAAAACTAGATAGAAGATTGATTTTATATTTTACTAGTACCTAGCAGAGATTTTTTCAAACCATTAAATAAAAGCAAGCACACTGTATATGTGCTCTCCCTACATGTACCCCCTCCCCTTTCCAGAATGAGTTTTATGGATAATTTCTACACCGACATGTTAAAAAAAGAACAATATTTACATATGCCTATTTATTGTATTACCTGTTCTTTTTAAGGATTTATTCTAATCCTTTTCAAAAATAGAAATTTAATGATAAATAAAATCAACGAAAGAGAGACAATTTTACGACATGGAGAGTTACGATTTCTTTTTTCAAGACACGGTGCGGCACGGTGTGCCTACCAGCGTATTTCAAATCCACACACACCGTGCTACACTGTGTACACGGTGTGACACAGAGCATTTCACACGGTGTGTTTTCCACCGTGCGACAGGGAAAACTCGTGGCCTGTACTGTAAATTGTAATTCCTTTCATCTCGTCAACTTGTTAACTAGTATGAGTACATTTGTTTGTTTCTTTTCTCTATTTTGAATTTTTCTGCTTGTATTTATCTATTTATGTTTTTTGTTTGTTTTCTTCTTTGCTTAAAATTTGAATAAGAAAAAATTATGAAAATACATATAACATGATGATGACCATGATGACCAGAACAATAACACATTGTTTTCAGTTTTACTGTACTTTTTTAAAAGAAGAAAAATCACTTATTCAGAGAATCTACAGAAACTTCATCTCACCTCAGATAATGATATGTATGTATTATACTGATACCCATGCATAAACACATGATAAATAATTAAGGTCTTCCGACTTCCTTCGGAAGACCTTACTGTTTTCCGTCTGTTTTCTATTATTATTATTATTCTTTTTTTCATAGTTATGGCAATATCTCAGCTGTGAGTGGGCAGATTGCTGAGATTTTTTTAGGGAAGATGCATCATGTAAATATCTCCAGACATGTTTTTCATTTTTTCAAAATTCACTTCCATTCGAGATTTTTGGGGAAATTTGTATTTTTTAAATGGCATTTTGTCCAGAATTTTTCTGACAACAGCTAAAGATATGAAACTGAAACTCACTGAAGAGATAGAACATCGAATTCCAATATATGGAACGACCTTTATTTTTCGTCGTCGGCACTTCCGGTCGCAAACAGAAGTGAATTAAAAAAGTCCAATTTTTCAACTTTTTTGTTTTTCAGTATTTTTCTTTAGGATTTACAGGGTTTATAGAGTGTCTTACAAGAATTCTAAATATGTTTTCTATATCTTGATGCATGCGTTTATTGCATAGATATGACCGATCCAAACTTTGTCCCACTGTCTGGGGTTCGAATCCCGCTGGAGGCAGTTAATTTTTTTTTCTTTGTTTCTCTCTTTTTAGCTCACCTGAGTGAAAGGTTCAAGTGAGCTTTTCTGATCAAAATTTGTCCGTTGTCTGTCGTCGTTGTCGTTGTTGTCCTTGTTGTTGTAAACTTTTCACATTTTCATCTTCTTCTCAAGAACCACTGGGCCAATTTCAACCAAACTTGCCACAAAGTATCCTTTGGTAAAGGAGATTCAAATTTGTTCAAATGAAGGGCCACGCCCTCTTCCAAGGGGAGATAATTATGAATTCGTGAAAAATTAATGGCATCATAAAAAAATCTTCTTCTCAAGAACCACTGTGCTTGAAAATATGAAACTTATGTGGAAGCATCCTCAGGTAGTGTAGATTCAAGTTTGTTCAAACAGGACCCCCGGGGATAGGGTGGGGCCACAATAGGCGATCAAAGTTTTACGTAGGAATATATAGGAAAAATCTTTAAAAATCTTCTTCTTAAGAACAGCAAAGCCATGATTGGTCATATTTATATGGTAGCATCCTCAAGTAGTGTAGATTCAAGTTTTTTTCAAATCAGGACCCCCGGGGGTTCGGGTGGGGCCACAATAGGCGATCAAAGTTTTACATAATACATAATAAAAATCTTTTTAAAAAACTATTTCTTAAGAACAGCAAAGCCATGATTGGTCATATTTACATGGAAAGATTCTTAGATAGTGTAGATTCAAGTTTGTTCAAACATGACCCCTGGGGGTAGGGTGGGGCCACAATGGGCGATCAAAGTTTTACATAGGAATACATAGGAAAAATCTTTAAAAATCTTCTACTCAAGAACAGCAAAGCCATGATTGTTCATATTTAAATGGAAGCATCATCAGGTAATGTATATTCAAATTTGTTCAATTCATCCCCCCCCCCCCCCCCCCCCCCGAACCACTTTTATATTTAAACTTTTCAACCTTTCAAGACTGAACTGATTTCTGCTTTTTCCTAGCCATAGTGCTCAGGTGAGCGATGTGGCCCCTGGGCCTCTTGTTTCAGTTGCTAATGACTTCTCTCTCTTTGATAACATGTATGGTAGTTTTTGCTGATTTTTAAAAGCTTTTTGTCAGAGATTCTGTAGAAAACCCTTCGACATATACTGAATATCATTGCATCTATAATATGTCCTTCTAAAACTATTTTAAGAATTTCATTCTTGTCCCCAAAGCTTGACCCATTCAAAACTTGTCACCCCTTTCGCAATAAAACCTTGTTATCACTACTCCTCCAAAACCGTAAACCGTAGAGATTCCAAACCTTCATCAGAGTCTTTGCCTCATTTAGTACTCTCTTCATTCTATCATTGCGAAAGCATTCTTTGGTCCCTTGTGTGAGTTACTGCCCCTGAAAGTTTACGCTGCTTACATTTAATGAACTTCTTTTTAAAACGGTGTATCCTAGAGACATGGGACAAACTGCATCGGCATATTTGACTTTGAACTTGAAATATAGGTCAAGGTCAAAGGTCAAGGTCATTTAAAAACATAAGAAATTCTTTATATGTGTGTAAAATATAGCAATTCACCAAATGACCTTGACCTTTGACCTTGACATTGGGTCAAATGAAAAGTAAGGACATGCATCCAGCTCCAGTATCAGGTAAAAACATAGAAAGTAAAGATTTCCTGGGGTTTTTTTTGTGTTTTTTTTAATGACTTTGACCTTTGACCTTGACCCAAAGGTCACAATCAGGCTTAAGGATGTGGAAGTAGTTACAAGTCTTAGATTAAAAGAGGCATAAAATAAATAATTCACCCCCCCCCTTCTTAAAAAAAATTACATCAACAACAACGTAGAATATTTCTGTAAAATTCAAACCAGACCTCGGATCAACATCATATTTGGTACAAATGTAGTATAGACCTCAGAGAAACTTTCTGGGGAGTTTTACGGTGAGTCTTATAAGTTTATGGAAGTCATGAAGTTTCACAGCAAAAACTACAAGTTCTGTTGTGTTTGAAATTAAAGTGTAGGTGAACAAAGAAATGATCTAAACCTTTTATCGGCTATTTCTTCAGATGTCGTTAGTAGCATTCGATTCTCCTGATATGATACAACATTTTAATACCAAGCATTCTCTCTTTCTTTTACATTTGGAATTTATTTGATTTTTATTTAGAATTAATCAGTTTCCAGAAATAGCGATTTCCGGCATATTAAAAACAATTCTCGCTTTCA